CACACACACACACACACACACACACACACACACACACACACACACACACACACACACACACACTTGTATCATGCGAGAGGCTAGCCCTTAACGTCTGGCTTTAAAACTTTAAAAATTCGGTTAAATATATATTACAAGTAAAATGTGGTTATTAATTTTTAAAACTTCAAAACTACAAATTCAAAACTAAATTTAAAGTTTTAATAATATGACTACTTAAATTCGGCAGGCTAGAGATATAATTATAGTAATGGGTTATCTTCTTGAGGTTAGATTAAAATGATTTCGGGGCTTTGCGTCCCCGTGGCCCGGTCCTCACTCAGGCTAGTTACACACACCCAGGAAGCAGCCTGTAGCAGCTAACTCCCAGGTGCCTATTTAAGGCTAGGTGAACAGGGCCATCAGGGCTGGAAAAACTCAGCCCATTTGTTTTCGCCTCCACTGGGAATCGAACCCGGAACCTTAGGACTACGAATCCCGAGCGCTGTCCACTCAGTTATTAGGCCCTAGAGGGTAACGAGAGATTTTCCTGACGTTCCTAATGATGGCTTCCTCTCGTTCACAGGTCCAGCCAGTTACGGCCAGACAAGGAATGGCATTGAGGACAGTCTATGTACTGAACATGACGACGGAATACAGCGATGTACTGCCCATGACCACTTAGTCTTCTGATCTGAGAGCTCGCTTTCTGATGGCGCCTCACGCTGATTCTTGACTCAAACATTGAATTTCAATACTAAATTCCTACCTCAAACACTGGCATTTTATCCTGTCTTTCTTATTTGTGATTTGCACTGCTAGGCACACTTCTCGCGGCCCGGTCTCTGACTAGGCTGTTACATGCTGATATCCTGAGCCCACATCCCCGAATGATCGGGTATAGTTTAGAGGTGTTCATAAACCCCCCTCCCCCAGAATCTAGTTCAAAACCTCCTCTCTCCATACAACACCTTCCTCGTATCTTATATTTAGTAATGCCACTGAAGCTTAACCTTATGGGTGGTAAGAGCTCTTGGTTAGCTCTTGGCAAGACTTGACAGTACTATGTACTCCCTCGGTAGGACAACCCTACTATAGCGTTCTATAAAGAAATCCTCATGGGCCGTGATAGGGGTTCGAACTTACGACCGGAACGGTTTAGTGCCTTTTTGATAATTACTTAAGACCGGGATGATCCCAGACGCGCCTTGGCCAAAAGAATTGCACATGAGGGGGATTTGCAACCTTGTGGATTTGATACAACGCGCTATTGTGATTTGTATCTTTTCATATAAACTTTCAGAAGGGGCTATAAAACCACCCATTAGCTCCACAAGCGGGCAAACTGCAACAGAGGTTGCACATGTCTGCAGAGGAACCGAAGGCCGACCTGTAGAGGCTTACTTTCCAGTTATACCGTAATTACATTGTTGTCGCTGGTTTTCAGATTCGGCTACTCGGAACAAAGTTAAAAATAGCACGGGCTATGGCGAGCCCGTAAGTAGAGGCTCTTTGGAGCCGGTACCAATAGCTGATACTGGGGATGGATTGGGGTCTTCATGGTGGTTTTCAGCCCTGGAGGGCTGGCTGTAGCAGTTATGGAGCTGGTGGGGTTAGTGTAGACCTCCAGGTCTTCCGTTCTTTTCTTTGCCTGAGACTTTGGCTGAACCGTGCTGTCGTTGGAGTTTGACGAGGTGACCTCCATGAGTCCTTGTACCGAGTAGGTGTCGTATTTGTGGTACGGCGGTGGAGCTCCTATTAAGATTACCTCGTCTGAGGAGTCTGTAACCTCCATAGTTGGTGTTTTCGTCTTTCGCCTCGCAGCCTTAGGTAGGTAGGCTCAGGTATTGTGGATTGTTGGTAGAAGCTGTACGCAGTTACATTGAACTGGTCTGGTTAAATACTAGTTTGTGGTTCTGGAGAGATGGGAAGGTGCGCGAGTGTTCCCCAGGACCTGTTCTGTGGGTACCCAGATCACCCTCGGGATTGTTCTCGCCTACTTGTGCTTGCGGGGGTTGAGCTCTGGCTCTTTGGTCCCGCCTCTCGACTCAAATCAACTGGTGTACAGGTTCCTGAGCCTACTGGGCTCTATCATAGCTACACTTGAAACTGTGTATGGAGTCAGCCTCCACCACATCACTGCCTAATGCATTCCATCTGTTAACTACTGACACTGAAAGTTCTTTCTAACGTCCCTGTGGCTCATGTGGGTTGTCAGTTTCCACCTGTGTCCCCTTGTTCATATACCACCAGGGTTGAATGGTTTATCCCTGTCTACCTTGTCAATTCTCCTGAGGATTTTGTAGGTAGTGATCATGTCTCCCCTTACTCTTGTTTTCCAGTGTCGTGAGGTGCATTTCCCGCAGCCTTTCCTCGTAACTCTTGCCTCTCGGTTCTGGGACTAGTCTAGTGGCATACCTCTGAACTTTTTCCACCTTCGTCTTGTGCTTGAGTAGGTACGGACTCCATGCTGGGGCCGCATACTGCAGAATTGGTCTTACATATGTGGTGTAAAAGATTC